CTCCCATTGAAAAAGCAAGCATTCGACTCCTGTGTAACCCCGACCGTACTCTATGAAGCGGAAGCATGGTCCTCAAGGAAATCGGATATTAGAAGTTTGTGCGTAGCTCAAAGAAAGATGGAAAGGAGGATGCTCGGATTACGTATGCTGGACCGATGGAGCTGTGAAAGGATCAGAGCACTCACGAAAGTCAGAGACTGGATAAACGAGGCTTCAAGGAAAAAACTCATATGGGCTAGAAAGATACGTGAAATGGACGAAAACGTATGGGCTCGCGTGATCACGACTTGGATTCCATATGACTACGTGGACCGAAGAAGGAGAGGACACCCTTGTATTCGATGGCGCGATGAATTGTCGAAGAAGATCGGGAAAACGTGGTGGAGTATGACGAAGGAACAGTTCAATGAGGCCATGATACGGCATTCGAATATGAATTGATTCCGTAATAAAGTGTGTATATCATTATTTTGTGTGGCACCCAAGTCTCATGCTTCCCGCCCTCATTCTCTTCTCTGTCCGATCTGACAAACCCACGATGGAAGATGTGGAAAATGGGTCCTGAGCCTGGAAATTCATTTGCATTCAATTTCTCTACCTCTTTGAGTTGTATCGCGCAGATGTATAGCACGCTTCCATCCTACTATCCCTACTGAGTGGGAGTCGATCACTGGAAAATCTAAACTGCTCACCCCGGATGTTCAAAAAATGACGAAATAAACGCAAACTCGGGTCTTTTTCGCCTTTTCTTCATGCCTAGGTTGGTTTTCACTTTTTCAATGACGAATGATAAAATGTTCCACTCAGCCCATCGAGCTCTACTAAGTGGTTAACTTAAAATTTGAAAACCTTGTTTTATCAATGCACTTGAAGGCACATCATCAGCAAAGATCCACGTGGCATCCGACCGATCCGGTAATGGGGTTCCCACTATGACCTGACTTTTGAGTTTTGAGTCCGACAGCGTCCCTTGTGCTACCATTGGGGCAACTGTTTAATCCTGGGGGAAATTTGAAAAACCATTGTTATCACGAACTGCGACTTTAGACAAAGTGGCTTTTTGAACTGAGAAACAGCGAATTTTCGGTAATCTCTAGCTCACTTTTCTATAGTTTGCAAATTGTAAGTCCCAGCAAAAAGAGGGAAGCGATTTTCTGGCACGTGGCATACTTTCTAAAGAAGCATAAACTTTATGAGATATTTTTATAAAACCTGCTGCCAAGATGGTAAATAAATCCTTTCCAACTTACGTTTCGGCGTTATCGCCTTCTTTAGAGTTGGAAATCTAAAGACAATCGCTATCCATCCCTCATTCAGCAATTCAATTTCAAAAACTGGTTCCCTAGACCTGATGTTTCGAAATGGGCATGATATACCTGAACATTTAACCCACCTCCAGCATAACCGGTCGTTTGAACAACCGAGGCTGAAGTGACCCATAGGGACTTGGGAGTAGCTTAAGATGATATGCCCTATCCCTCTCGACGTGATACCAGAGCCGTATAAAACCCACAGAGGTCAGAGAAAGGCGCGAGTTCTATAACTACGGCTAGGCACTCGTCCTTCCTATTCGTTTTTGGGGACCTGGCATTGATGAAAAATGCCTCAAGTATTTCACAATTCTTTGCCGTACAGGTTTGTTATGATGGAACCGATTATTTGGTCGACGTTTTGATTAACTCGTCGTCTTCAGGGACCTGAAAGTAGTTCGGAGCTCCTGATCTATAGCTTACTCGACCAAGCGTCCAAACGCACTAGGCCAGTTGCAACAACTCCCAGAAACTCAAACGCCGAAACATCGCAGCCAAGAAACCAACCTTCTGCGGTTCCACCAGCGCTGTCGTCCCACTCTATTTCGTGAACATCAAGGGAACAATGAGACACCATTGACGGTCGTGAGATAAGAATTATGCGGTAATCTCAGAGCCCACGAAAGGATACGAATGGCAGAAGTTCACTCGTTATGGCAGTGCACTCATTTTGGTTGTTCAGCTTAGGGTTTCGCTCGCGGATGTACAACACTTCCAATATCTTCCTAGCACCGATCTCATTCTCGTAAGCTAGGATTTTGCATTTGATATCAAAACATTTGCCGTGATGTCCTTCCAATCGATGCCCCCCAAGTTGCGTGAATGAGCTTCCTCGCCTTTTACCCGCTAGATGTTCTTCAACGCGTATGCCCAGCATCCTTCCCGTCTCACCAATAGATATTTCGTCACAGGCTGAACACTGAATTTGGTATGCAGTCCCTTGCTGTGTGCAATCTCCATTCCTTCCGAACGGACAAACAACGCAGTTAATCGTCGTATATGCACGATCATAGAGTCTGTTGCGGATCAAAAGACGTTTGATATTGTCTG